ATAAACAAGAAAAAAGGGATATAAAAAAAAAATATTCAAAAGAGGATTAAAGAAGGCGTTTTTGGGAATCTTCAGTCCGATCAACGGCCGGAATTTGGATTAACCCTCGACTTATCATCTGGAAAGGACATCAAAAAAGGTAATTAAAACTTTATTTCCTCCTTCCCCTTAAAAATCCACAAAAGAAAGGATTTATCCTTTGAATAATTTTGACCGTCGGTATAAAATTAATTCAGAAAAGTCGGGACTTCGCGGCCGACTATAACAAATTCGCGAAGTGGTGACACGCGCTGCCCTATAAATTATTAAAATTATTGTATAAATTGTTTTTTTTGTAAGCTACGAACAGAAACCTCCCTTTCGAGACGTCTAAAACTTTGCCTATTTTTTTTTTTTAGATTTATATCCCCTTTTTCTTGTTTATTACCAAAGTTTACTTTAAACGAAACTGAACATGTTCAATGTTTGCGTCACTAATTTTGATTTGAAATTAATAAATTTTGCACAAAACTTTAAATTTAGGTTTTCTTTAGAATTTTATTTTTTGTTTTAATCGTCAATGTTTAAGATGTATTTAATGTCACTGATTAATTTATGATTGCGAAAAATTCAACAAAATTATCCTTATTTATTTTTAAGGTTGGGTTCACTTCAGTAAATAATAATAACACACACAACAATTAATACATGAAATAAATTCACAATTTATTTGAAAGTTTTAAATTTTTTACACTTTTTTGAATTCCCGGCGAGTAAAATAAATATGTGTGACCGACTCGAGAATCAAGAAGGAACTGGCTGTTGGGCCTGCTGCACAGCCCGCGTACAGTCTCTAAGTTTGAGAACTTCCCCTACCTTTTTACGTTTCTCTCACGACTTGGTTGCTGATGTTCGCATTTTCTTTTCGCTTTGTGTAGAAGTTTTCGAATTAATGTTTATACATAGTTCGTTGTTATTATTAGTTACAATTTATAAATTTAAAACAATAAAGTTTAAACAGACATATTTTTATTTTGTCTATAAAAATTCGAAGAATTTGTAAATTTTGAATTATTAATTTTTTATTAGAACATAAATTGGTTTCATTGATTTTTAATAAATAAATGTTTTTTACAATTGAAATTTTTTTACGCTGTATTTAATATGATTTGAATATATTATAATATTAAATTAGTCATAGCTTTATTTCGTACTTGAGTGCACGTGCACTCATTTCTTATCATATCTTCTAAGGATTATGTTACCTGCGACTTCTAGTGTCGTTGGAATAATTTCATTTCTTTGTTTAAAATCTCAATTCTATTATTTATTCTCCTTTTTAATTTACAATGTTATTTTAACTGCTGAATAATTCGATTGTTCAAAAAGTATGTAGAAAATGATTTGTCAAAAATATAATTCGTTAATTTTAGGATTCCTAAAATTCGAATAAAGTGGATTCTTTAATTATTTTAATTTTAATATTTTAAATTAATTATATTATAATTTTTTGTTAGGATTTTCATACAGTTTTAAAATAATACCTTTTGAATTCATGCAGTTTTGTGGTCTTTCTCTTACATTCTTTTTGTTATCTCGTAGGGTTAGGTTACATCCTGCAGTCGTCGCTAGAAGTTGCATTCTTTTATGGGGTTTAAAGTTTTTATTCAGTTTGGTTAAATTTAGATTTTATTATGATTCGTTGATAAATTAATAAAATAATTTTGTTAATAAGTTTAATTTGTTAATATTATTATTATTTATTAAAAACCAATAATTTTATTTTTGAATAAAAGTATTGTCCAATATAATAATTTTGTTTTATAATTGATTTATTGTTAATTCAGCATTATTTAATTTTACATGTAGCGAATTTTTATTTTGAAATATATAAATGTATAATTTGAAGATTTTTCCGACTTGGGATTTTACTTCTATTGAATCAGCGTTTTGTCATTATTATTTCAAAGATCTGATTTCGTTCCATAACTTAACAGCCTGGGAAAGTTTTAAATTCGCAGTTCACAAAGTATCTCTTTTAATTTCTTATATTTCAAATTCCACATTTGTATTTGTATTACCAATTAAACAAATTTATTTTATTATTGTTGCAATGCAATTGAAAAAATTTTTTATGAGGGATGTTACACCCCCATTGATTAGAGCAAAACTGGCTTCACGAGTGAACGAAGGTTTTGCGCAAAGGAAAAGAAACTGTGACGGTTCCTTAAAAGTTAAAAACTCTACGAAAAACTAGTCATGTTCATTTTACATAAAAACTATAGTTTTTCTTAATTTACGTTGATTATGCAATATTGCAAATCTATTACTGTAGATCTTTCATATTAACATGAATTATATAAAGTTTTATAGGAATGTTTTTTTTTATTTCTAATAACAATTAAGTTTACAATTTTGTTAGACTTATTATTTTATTTAGATGTAACAGATTAACACAATTCTTACTAATATTTATAAGATTTGTCGTTTAATTATTATACTCGTAGATTTGTGTCGAGTGATATGAACATTTTCTGGTGATTTCTTTGAAAAAATTTATACCAAAATAAGACAAAAATTTTTTTTTTTAAAAGTGTCACATCGCGGATTACACAAAGATTATGAGGGGTATATAATGGTATACACTGATGGATGTTGCATCAATAATGGTTAGGAAAATGATGTATTATTTGGATTAACTTAACAACGTTAAATGAGAGGCAGTTCCATCGTACTCCGGCATTAATAACAACAAAAACTGTTTATTTGGCCAGAGAGAGAATATTTGACGATATTACAGTATTGGAACAATTAAATTTATTAAGAATCAATTTTATTATTAGTAATTAATTCGTTTTGGAGATTCTACATTTTATTTATGTATAAATGAATATGAGTTTTCTGAATTTAATTTCTCTATGTTCAGAGACGCTCTCAAAATACGTTTCAATCCGACGTTATATTTTAGAGTCAGATTGTGTTCCTTTTCCAAAGTATCATAAAAATTGAGATCTGAACATGTTCTTGAAGAAAGAGAATCTCAAAGTCTTGAACAAGAATTGAATCAAAAATTTTATGATTTTAACACCCCCATTGATTAGAGCAAAACTAGCTTCGCGAGTGAACTAAGGTTTTGCGCAAGGAAAAGAAACTCTGATGTTTTCGGTTTTTGTATTAACAATTCTACAAACACTAGTAAATTTTATTTTATAACTATTGGATTATATTTTTGTGTTTGGCTCAGTATTATAGAACTAATATTGTAGATCATTCATGATATCAGATAAGATATATAAAGTTTTATAATAATATTTATGTAGTTTCTAATTACAATTTAATTATTATAACGGAGGTGTAAATTTCTTTGTGATACTTATTATTTTATTTAGATATACTTGATTAACATAATTTTTATTAATATTCATAACATTATAAATTTGTAAATTTGTGAATTTACAAAAGTGTAAATTTCTTTTGTGATACTTATTATTTTATTTAGATATACTTGATTAACATAATTTTATTAATATTCGTAACATTATAAATTTGTAAATTTGTGAATTTACAAATTGTAAATTTCTTTTGTGATACTTATTATTTTATTTAGATATACTTGATTAACACAATTTTATTAATATTCATAACATTATAATTTTGTCGTTTGAATATTCTTGTTATATTCTTATTCGTCGAGAATAAACAATTAGTTATTTTCGACAAGATTGTAGTTCTGAAATAAGTAGATTTCTAAATGTGAAGATGAATTTTTTATTTGAATGTGAAATTTAACATATTTTTTTTTTTTATTGGATAATGTATGTTATGAATTTTGGTAAGCAACCAAAAATTAAAGGAAATAAAAAATTTTTATATTCAGACATTTAATTTTGGATATGCGGGACTTTGAGGATTCCTAGGTGGGACAATTGGTGGGGAATTTAGTAAAGGTGTAGGAGGAGGCGCATGGGGGGGTGAAGGTGGGAACGTAGAAGGGGGCGGATTTTCTTCGTCATTGTTTGATTTTTTTTTCTTTCTTTTTGATGTTGTCTGTACCTAAATGGATTAAAAAATTTGCAATGCCACTTACAAATGCGGCAATCAGTTTTATTCCGAAACCATAAATTCGGTATAGTGCATAACCGTGAAATAGAACATTGACAGCATATTTAATCAAACCAAGAATTATTGCTACTGCTATACATCCAGCACTAAAAGATCCAAATTTCAAAAAATATGACCAAACTTTCGTCATTGCATTTTCGGCAAATTTATCTAAAGTCTTTTCATCTAATAAATTTAACATGTCTAAATTGTCTGTAGCTACGTCATGTCCGGATGCACCTCTAGCAATTTGATTTAATATAGCGGGTTTCGTTATAGGGAACATTATAGCATTTTTAAATTGATCTAAGTCTTCATCTGAATAAATACCACTTTTTGCTAATTCGCCCGGGTCAGTGTATTTCCAAGTGGGTTTGTTCAAGGGTTGTAAAATTTGTGGAGGATCGGCGGGAGAAGGATGAGGAGATAGCATGTACCATTTTCCGTCTATTTCAAAAGTTGTAGGCAAGAGTCTATTACAGTCTCTTTGGTTTCCTGTTGTAGTCAATATTCTAGATTTTGGAGTCAAAAAGAGCGATATATTGTTATAAGTAACTGGTAATTCTGTATAGCAAGTGTTGTTGGTGGGACGTAATTTAACGGGAACTTTTTGGCATTGGATAAGGTGTGCTACTTCTCCGGCGAAAATTGCCATGTAACCAGGTTCTTTCATTATAGTATACGAAAATTCGTCTGGATTGAGGGAGGATTGTGAAAGTGAGTTTTTTATTACTTGTCTTTCAAGTTTGCATCTCTGTGTTATAATATCTTTATAAAGTGTATTAATCTCGATTTTAAGATGATGAGACATATACATAAGTTTAGTATTAAAATAAGCTGTAAGGGAAATATCTTTAATGTTCACTCTATAATTTTTGGTTGGAAAAGGATTATTCAAGGTAGTTTCAAAAATATAAATTTTAGATTGTTCGGTTTTTTCTTAGTGTCATTCCGCAAATTGTCTCTGTTCCCATATCTGTGAAAGCAAATTTCATATTGTCTGTAGAGTTTGTAAAATATATAGTGGGGAGGTTCGTATCTTGGGTCTTGGAAGAATATCCTTGGAAGAGGATCGCATAGGAATTAAAATTGCATAAGGTATTTTCTGGTTTTTCCCAATAGGTATAGGCATTGTCGTGATCAATACAATGTTGTGTTGATAAAACACATTGAGTATTTGATTGCAAAATTATAATATCTTCACTCATTTTTATAGTAGCTTCATAAGAATATAAAGAAATTTCTAAATCAGCTTGAACGACTAAGTTTGGTTTTGATTCAAACAATTCACCTTCACATTTTGAATTTTCGAAGACTATCCCTTTTAAATTTATATTTCTAAAATTCGTCTTATTTATTTCAAGATTATCGATTACTGTTTCATAATATTTAAACTGGCCAAATCGATGCATGTCGTCGCATGCCTCGCGCGAAACTTTTAAAATATAAACTTTATTAACATCATTTGTTAATGCTATGTGTGAGTGCATACCGCAGTAGTATCCTTTCCGTGTTACCTTTATTTTACACTGTCGAGTAAATGTTGTTCCATATTCTCCCTTTTGTAGCAAATTTATATAATGTTTTTCAGATTTGGGAACGAGGTTGTCGAAATTGCAATCTCCAACATGACGTAGCGAGATTGTTGTTATGTTCGGGGATTTCTTAAAACTGCAATCATATCCGGTAAGACCACTGACAGGTAAAACAATGAAAGGTACAAAGAATATGAAGAACATTTTCTGAAATACAAAGAATAAAACAACTTTATATTCAATAAACTGTACGAGCTTTGGTCTTATTATTGTTATTTTTTGTTTTTAAATTGTTAATTTAAAAAGAAAATAACTAAATTCTTGTTTTGCAAAATAAAGGTTACTCGGAAGAGTCACATTCACTCGGAGGTCGCAGGCGAGTGAGCCTTAATTTATTTGTATGCACTGTACGAGTTTTATTTCCAGCTTTAATAATAGCATTATTATTTTCGTTTAATTGTACAATTTTGTATGGTCCTATATACTCAGGTGTAAAAGGACCACGTTTTGGTTCTTTTAGAAGCAAAACTGTATCGCCAATTTCAAATTTACAAGGATTTATTCTTTTATCGTAAAAAGCTTTAGACCTAATTTTCGCGTTTTTCAAATTATTTTGTGCCAATTCTTGAATTTTATTGATCCTAGATTTTAAATTTATAAGATAGTCAAAATACGTTTCATTTCTTACGTCGCTTACATTTATATTTGTAGAAGGAACTCTCGCAAGTTTTCCGAAGACACATTCGTACGGCGTTAGTTTCGTTCCTTCGTGAGTACTCGTATTATAAGAAAAAGCAGCACAATGGATCCATTTATCCCATTCAGCGTCAGAAGCTACATAACATTTAAAATATTCTTTCAAAGAATGGTGCATCCTTTCAATTGAGCCATTACTCTGAGGGCGATATGCTGTAGTACAACATTGATTCACTTTGCAAAGTTTCGAAATGTGTTTTATTAAAGAAGACGTAAAATTTGATCCTTGATCTGTCAGAATAATTTTTGGAGCTCCGTACTGGAATACAAAATTATTCAAAATTGCTGTAGCTATTGTTGTTGACCTTATATTTTCAAGGGGCACTGCTATGATGTATTTTGTTAGAAGACATTGCATCGTAAGAATATATTTATGTAGAGACGATGACCTTGGCAACTCTACGATGTCCATTGAAATTTTTTCGAAGGATTCTCCAGGAGTATCTGTGAGGACCATTGGTTGATTTACTTTTCTTCTAACTAACTTTTGAATTTGGCAAACTTCACAACGGGAGATGAATAGTTGAATATCCTTTTTAAGTGTTGGCCAATAAAAATCATGTTTAATGCGGAGATAAGTTTTGGTAACTCCTTTATGGCCGTTTATAGGGGATTCGTGCGTCGAGGCTATTATTGCAAATCTCTCACCTTCTTCCGGAACTTGAACTACTCCTTTGCAGAAAATAAATTTAGTGTTTGGTAAATTTTCTGAGATGATTTTAAATTGATTGAGGAATGTTTCCCATGATATATCGTCAATGTATCCTGATTTTGCAATTCTTATCGATCTCAGATTTAGCCTTAAAAGTTTTTGTAATAATCCTTCAAATAAATTTCCTAAAATATCGACATTAGTTCTTTCATTATTATCCCTTTTTAAACAGGCTGCTATAAAGGTTTTTCTTGAAACAATTTTGGTTTTTGTTTCTCCGATATTATAGGAAACTTCTAAAGGTAATTTTCCTTGTAATAGTAATTCTTTCGCTCCATCGCATATCGGTTCATTTTTCGAAGTTACAAAGTATAAAATATTATCGTTATGTGTCAATACTTTGTCTCTTACCGTTATCAAATTTGAATTATATTGATTCCTTCGATTAATGTCATATCCCACCGCTGTCACCAAAAATTTTCTTTGTAACGTCTGAGAAAAATAGGCAAAGTTTTAGACGTCTCGAAAGGGAGGTTTCTGTTCGTAGCTTACAAAAAAACAATTTATACAATAATTTTAATAATTTATAGGGCAGCGCGTGTCACCACTTCGCGAATTTGTTATAGTCGGCCGCGAAGTCCCGACTTTTCTGAATTAATTTTATACCGACGGTCAAAATTATTCAAAGGATAAATCCTTTCTTTTGTGGATTTTTAAGGGGAAGGAGGAAATAAAGTTTTAATTACCTTTTTTGATGTCCTTTCCAGATGATAAGTCGAGGGTTAATCCAAATTCCGGCCGTTGATCGGACTGAAGATTCCCAAAAACGCCTTCTTTAATCCTCTTTTGAATATTTTTTTTTTTATATCCCTTTTTTCTTGTTTATTACCAAAGTTTACTTTAAACGAAACTGAACATGTTCAATGTTTGCGTCACTAATTTTGATTTGAAATTAATAAATTTTGCACAAAACTTTAAATTTAGGTTTCTTTAGAATTTTATTTTTGTTTTAATCGTCAATGTTTAAGATGTATTTAATGTCACTGATTAATTTATGATTGCGAAAAATTCAACAAAATTATCCTTATTTATTTTTAAGGTTGGGTTCACTTCAATAAATAATAATAACACACACAACAATTAATACATGAAATAAATTCACAATTTATTTGAAAGTTTTAAATTTTTACACTTTTTTGAATGCCCGGCGAGTAAAATAAATATGTGTGACCGACTCGAGAATCAAGAAGGAACTGGCTGTTGGGCCTGCTGCACAGCCCGCGTACAGTCTCTAAGTTTGAGAACTTCCCCTACCTTTTTACGTTTCTCTCACGACTTGGTTGCTGATGTTCGCATTTTCTTTTCGCTTTGTGTAGAAGTTTTCGAATTAATGTTTATACATAGTTCGTTGTTATTATTAGTTACAATTTATAAATTTAAAACAATAAAGTTTAAACAGACATATTTTTATTTTGTCTATAAAAATTCGAAGAATTTGTAAATTTTGAATTATTAATTTTTTATTAGAACATAAATTGGTTTCATTGATTTTTAATAAATAAATGTTTTTTACAATTGAATTTTTTTTACGCTGTATTTAATATGATTTGAATATATTATAATATTAAATTAGTCATAGCTTTATTTCGTACTTGAGTGCACGTGCACTCATTTCTTATCATATCTTCTAAGGATTATGTTACCTGCAACTTCTAGTGTCGTTGGAATAATTTCATTTCTTTGTTTAAAATCTCAATTCTATTATTTATTCTCCTTTTTAATTTACAATGTTATTTTAACTGCTGAATAATTCGATTGTTCAAAAAGTATGTAGAAAATGATTTGTCAAAAATATAATTCGTTAATTTTAGGATTCCTAAAATTCGAATAAAGTGGATTCTTTAATTATTTTAATTTTAATATTTTAAATTAATTATATTATAATTTTTTGTTAGGATTTTCATACAGTTTTAAAATAATACCTTTTGAATTCATGCAGTTTTGTGGTCTTTCTCTTACATTCTTTTTGTTATCTCGTAGGGTTAGGTTACATCCTGCAGTCGTCGCTAGAAGTTGCATTCTTTTATGGGGTTTAAAGTTTTTATTCAGTTTGGTTAAATTTAGATTTTATTATGATTCGTTGATAAATTAATAAAATAATTTTGTTAATAAGTTTAATTTGTTAATATTATTATTATTTATTAAAAACCAATAATTTTATTTTTGAATAAAAGTATTGTCCAATATAATAATTTTGTTTTATAATTGATTTATTGTTAATTCAGCATTATTTAATTTTACATGTAGCGAATTTTTATTTTGAAATATATAAATGTATAATTTGAAGATTTTTCCGACTTGGGATTTTACTTCTATTGAATCAGCGTTTTGTCATTATTATTTCAAAGATCTGATTTCGTTCCATAACTTAACAGCCTGGGAAAGTTTTAAATTCGCAGTTCACAAAGTATCTCTTTTAATTTCTTATATTTCAAATTCCACATTTGTATTTGTATTACCAATTAAACAAATTTATTTTATTATTGTTGCAATGCAATTGAAAAAATTTTTTATGAGGGATGTTACACCCCCATTGATTAGAGCAAAACTGGCTTCACGAGTGAACGAAGGTTTTGCGCAAAGGAAAAGAAACTGTGACGGTTCCTTAAAAGTTAAAAACTCTACGAAAAACTAGTCATGTTCATTTTACATAAAAACTATAGTTTTTCTTAATTTACGTTGATTATGCAATATTGCAAATCTATTACTGTAGATCTTTCATATTAACATGAATTATATAAAGTTTTATAGGAATGTTTTTTTTTATTTCTAATAACAATTAAGTTTACAATTTTGTTAGACTTATTATTTTATTTAGATGTAACAGATTAACACAATTCTTACTAATATTTATAAGATTTGTCGTTTAATTATTATACTCGTAGATTTGTGTCGAGTGATATGAACATTTTCTGGTGATTTCTTTGAAAAAATTTATACCAAAATAAGACAAAAAAATTTTTTTTTTTTAAAAGTGTCACATCGCGGATTACACAAAGATTATGAGGGGTATATAATGGTATACACTGATGGATGTTGCATCAATAATGGTTAGGAAAATGATGTATTATTTGGATTAACTTAACAACGTTAAATGAGAGGCAGTTCCATCGTACTCCGGCATTAATAACAACAAAAACTGTTTATTTGGCCAGAGAGAGAATATTTGACGATATTACAGTATTGGAACAATTAAATTTATTAAGAATCAATTTTATTATTAGTAATTAATTCGTTTTGGAGATTCTACATTTTATTTATGTATAAATGAATATGAGTTTTCTGAATTTAATTTCTCTATGTTCAGAGACGCTCTCAAAATACGTTTCAATCCGACGTTATATTTTAGAGTCAGATTGTGTTCCTTTTCCAAAGTATCATAAAAATTGAGATCTGAACATGTTCTTGAAGAAAGAGAATCTCAAAGTCTTGAACAAGAATTGAATCAAAAATTTTATGATTTTAACACCCCCATTGATTAGAGCAAAACTAGCTTCGCGAGTGAACTAAGGTTTTGCGCAAGGAAAAGAAACTCTGATGTTTTCGGTTTTTGTATTAACAATTCTACAAACACTAGTAAATTTTATTTTATAACTATTGGATTATATTTTTGTGTTTGGCTCAGTATTATAGAACTAATATTGTAGATCATTCATGATATCAGATAAGATATATAAAGTTTTATAATAATATTTATGTAGTTTCTAATTACAATTTAATTATTATAACGGAGGTGTAAATTTCTTTGTGATACTTATTATTTTATTTAGATATACTTGATTAACATAATTTTTATTAATATTCATAACATTATAAATTTGTAAATTTGTGAATTTACAAAAGTGTAAATTTCTTTTGTGATACTTATTATTTTATTTAGATATACTTGATTAACATAATTTTATTAATATTCGTAACATTATAAATTTGTAAATTTGTGAATTTACAAATTGTAAATTTCTTTTGTGATACTTATTATTTTATTTAGATATACTTGATTAACATAATTTTATTAATATTCATAACATTATAATTTTGTCGTTTGAATATTCTTGTTATATTCTTATTCGTCGAGAATAAACAATTAGTTATTTTCGACAAGATTGTAGTTCTGAAATAAGTAGATTTCTAAATGTGAAGATGAATTTTTTATTTGAATGTGAAATTTAACATATTTTTTTTTTTATTGGATAATGTATGTTATGAATTTTGGTAAGCAACCAAAAATTAAAGGAAATAAAAAATTTTTATATTCAGACATTTAATTTTGGATATGCGGGACTTTGAGGATTCCTAGGTGGGACAATTGGTGGGGAATTTAGTAAAGGTGTAGGAGGAGGCGCATGGGGGGGTGAAGGTGGGAACGTAGAAGGGGGCGGATTTTCTTCGTCATTGTTTGATTTTTTTTCTTTCTTTTTGATGTTGTCTGTACCTAAATGGATTAAAAAATTTGCAATGCCACTTACAAATGCGGCAATCAGTTTTATTCCGAAACCATAAATTCGGTATAGTGCATAACCGTGAAATAGAACATTGACAGCATATTTAATCAAACCAAGAATTATTGCTACTGCTATACATCCAGCACTAAAAGATCCAAATTTCAAAAAATATGACCAAACTTTCGTCATTGCATTTTCGGCAAATTTATCTAAAGTCTTTTCATCTAATAAATTTAACATGTCTAAATTGTCTGTAGCTACGTCATGTCCGGATGCACCTCTAGCAATTTGATTTAATATAGCGGGTTTCGTTATAGGGAACATTATAGCATTTTTAAATTGATCTAAGTCTTCATCTGAATAAATACCACTTTTTGCTAATTCGCCCGGGTCAGTGTATTTCCAAGTGGGTTTGTTCAAGGGTTGTAAAATTTGTGGAGGATCGGCGGGAGAAGGATGAGGAGATAGCATGTACCATTTTCCGTCTATTTCAAAAGTTGTAGGCAAGAGTCTATTACAGTCTCTTTGGTTTCCTGTTGTAGTCAATATTCTAGATTTTGGAGTCAAAAAGAGCGATATATTGTTATAAGTAACTGGTAATTCTGTATAGCAAGTGTTGTTGGTGGGACGTAATTTAACGGGAACTTTTTGGCATTGGATAAGGTGTGCTACTTCTCCGGCGAAAATTGCCATGTAACCAGGTTCTTTCATTATAGTATACGAAAATTCGTCTGGATTGAGGGAGGATTGTGAAAGTGAGTTTTTTATTACTTGTCTTTCAAGTTTGCATCTCTGTGTTATAATATCTTTATAAAGTGTATTAATCTCGATTTTAAGATGATGAGACATATACATAAGTTTAGTATTAAAATAAGCTGTAAGGGAAATATCTTTAATGTTCACTCTATAATTTTTGGTTGGAAAAGGATTATTCAAGGTAGTTTCAAAAATATAAATTTTAGATTGTTCGGTTTTTCTTAGTGTCATTCCGCAAATTGTCTCTGTTCCCATATCTGTGAAAGCAAATTTCATATTGTCTGTAGAGTTTGTAAAATATATAGTGGGGAGGTTCGTATCTTGGGTCTTGGAAGAATATCCTTGGAAGAGGATCGCATAGGAATTAAAATTGCATAAGGTATTTTCTGGTTTTTCCCAATAGGTATAGGCATTGTCGTGATCAATACAATGTTGTGTTGATAAAACACATTGAGTATTTGATTGCAAAATTATAATATCTTCACTCATTTTTATAGTAGCTTCATAAGAATATAAAGAAATTTCTAAATCAGCTTGAACGACTAAGTTTGGTTTTGATTCAAACAATTCACCTTCACATTTTGAATTTTCGAAGACTATCCCTTTTAAATTTATATTTCTAAAATTCGTCTTATTTATTTCAAGATTATCGATTACTGTTTCATAATATTTAAACTGGCCAAATCGATGCATGTCGTCGCATGCCTCGCGCGAAACTTTTAAAATATAAACTTTATTAACATCATTTGTTAATGCTATGTGTGAGTGCATACCGCAGTAGTATCCTTTCCGTGTTACCTTTATTTTACACTGTCGAGTAAATGTTGTTCCATATTCTCCCTTTTGTAGCAAATTTATATAATGTTTTTCAGATTTGGGAACGAGGTTGTCGAAATTGCAATCTCCAACATGACGTAGCGAGATTGTTGTTATGTTCGGGGATTTCTTAAAACTGCAATCATATCCGGTAAGACCACTGACAGGTAAAACAATGAAAGGTACAAAGAATATGAAGAACATTTTCTGAAATACAAAGAATAAAACAACTTTATATTCAATAAACTGTACGAGCTTTGGTCTTATTATTGTTATTTTTTGTTTTTAAATTGTTAATTTAAAAAGAAAATAACTAAATTCTTGTTTTGCAAAATAAAGGTTACTCGGAAGAGTCACATTCACTCGGAGGTCGCAGGCGAGTGAGCCTTAATTTATTTGTATGCACTGTACGAGTTTTATTTCCAGCTTTAATAATAGCATTATTATTTTCGTTTAATTGTACAATCTTGTATGGTCCTATATACTCAGGTGTAAAAGGACCACGTTTTGGTTCTTTTAGAAGCAAAACTGTATCGCCAATTTCAAATTTACAAGGATTTATTCTTTTATCGTAAAAAGCTTTAGACCTAATTTTCGCGTTTTTCAAATTATTTTGTGCCAATTCTTGAATTTTATTGATCCTAGATTTTAAATTTATAAGATAGTCAAAATACGTTTCATTTCTTACGTCGCTTACATTTATATTTGTAGAAGGAACTCTCGCAAGTTTTCCGAAGACACATTCGTACGGCGTTAGTTTCGTTCCTTCGTGAGTACTCGTATTATAAGAAAAAGCAGCACAATGGATCCATTTATCCCATTCAGCGTCAGAAGCTACATAACATTTAAAATATTCTTTCAAAGAATGGTGCATCCTTTCAATTGAGCCATTACTCTGAGGGCGATATGCTGTAGTACAACATTGATTCACTTTGCAAAGTTTCGAAATGTGTTTTATTAAAGAAGACGTAAAATTTGATCCTTGATCTGTCAGAATAATTTTTGGAGCTCCGTACTGGAATACAAAATTATTCAAAATTGCTGTAGCTATTGTTGTTGACCTTATATTTTCAAGGGGCACTGCTATGATGTATTTTGTTAGAAGACATTGCATCGTAAGAATATATTTATGTAGAGACGATGACCTTGGCAACTCTACGATGTCCATTGAAATTTTTTCGAAGGATTCTCCAGGAGTATCTGTGAGGACCATTGGTTGATTTACTTTTCTTCTAACTAACTTTTGAATTTGGCAAACTTCACAACGGGAGATGAATAGTTGAATATCCTTTTTAAGTGTTGGCCAATAAAAATCATGTTTAATGCGGAGATAAGTTTTGGTAACTCCTTTATGGCCGTTTATAGGGGATTCGTGCGTCGAGGCTATTATTGCAAATCTCTCACCTTCTTCCGGAACTTGAACTAATCCTTTGCAAAAAATAAATTTAGTGTTTGGTAAATTTTCTGAGATATTTTTAAATTGATTAAGGAATGTTTCCCATGATATATCGTCAATGTATCCTGACTGTGCAATTCTTATCGATTTCAGATTTAACCTTAAAAGCTTTTGTAATAATCCTTCAAATAAATTTTCTAAAATATCAGCATTAGTTCTTTCATTATTATCCCTTTTTAAACAGGCTGCTATGAAAGTTTTTCTTGAAACGATTTTAGTTTTTGTTTCTCCGATATTATAGGAAACTTCTAAAGGTAATTTTCCTTGTAATAGTAATTCTTTCGCTCCGTCGCATATCGGTTCATTTTTCGAAGTTACAAAGTATAAAATATTATCGTTATGCGTCAATACTTTGTCTCTTACCGTTATCAAATTTGGATTATGTTGATTCCTTCGATTAATGTCATATTCCACAGCTGCTTCAAATAGATCGGATGAGCGCGATACGATGTCACTCGACTCTTCGTTTTCGTTGGGGATTCCATCACTATCACTTGTAATTTCAAAATCTTCTACATTTGCATAGTCTCTATTTTGGTTTGTAAAATTCCTTGTAATTATTTCTTCATTTTCATCTTCTTCTCTTCCTTCAATCTTCCTTCGTTTCGATCTTCTTCTATTTACTTCTTCGTCAATTATTTCTTCAATTTCATCTTCTTCTCTTCTTTCTTCGTTTCGATTTTCAATTCTTCTTCTATTTATTTCTTCGTCAATTATTTCTTCAATTTCATCTTCTTCTCTTCTTTCTTCGTTTCGATTTTCAATTCTTCTTCTATTTACTTCTTCGTCAATTATTTCTTCAATTTCATCTTCTTCTCTTCTTTCTTCGTTTCGATTTTCAATTCTTCTTCTATTTACTTCTTCGTCAATTATTTCTTCAATTTCGTCTTCTTCTCTTCTTTCAATTTTTCTTCGTTTCGATCTTCTTCTATTTACTTCTTCATCAATTTCATTTTCGTTTCTTATTTCTTCATTTTCGTCTTCCTCTCTTCTCTCTTCGTTTTGATTTTCATTTCTTCTTCTATAAGGCCGTAGTGAAAATATATCGGAACTATGAGAACTTGGGTCGTCGCTATCTTCTGAAGGATTTTCGTTGTGTACATCAGCTGTTATCGTTATATTTTGGTTTGAGATTTCTGGATTCGCTCTTCTTCGTAGAAAAATATCGGAACTATCGGATGATGATGACGTCAACGTATTCACTTGTGGATCCGGAGGGTTTCTTGATAGAGCATCTGCTACATAATTCGTTTGTCCGGGTTTATAAATAACTTCAAATTCGAAATCGCGAAGTTTTAAATAAAATTTTTTCAATCTTGTAGTGGGGTCTTTTAGATTGTGGACCCATACTAATGGCTGGTGGTCTGTCACAAAGGTGAATTTTCGCCCAAAGAGGTAATATCTGAAGTGGAAGGCTGCTTTAACCATTGCATACAATTCCTTTTCTATTGTAGAATATCGCTGTTCTGTGTCATTTAAACTCTTAGAATAATAAGCTATCGGTAGATCGTGGCCGTCGTGCATTTGGCTTAAAACAGCGCCAATAGCGGAATTCGAGGCGTCAGTAGTTAAAATGAAATTTTTATTAAAATCAGGATATTTCAAGAGGGGTTCCGTGGTTAAATGCGTTTTTAAATAATCAAAAGCTTTCTCATGTTTTTCTGTCCATCGAAAAGGGACATTTTTCTTAAGTAAATTAAAGAGAGGTTTAGCTTCTCTTGAAAAATTCGGAATAAATTTCCTGTAATATCCTGAAAGGCCAATCAGCTGTTTTATATTTTTTTGATTTTTGGGACGAGGGAAATTTTGCATCGCTTCTACTTTCTTTTTATCAGGTCGGGAGCCATCTGCGCTAATTTCGTGTCCTAAATAAATTACCTTCGATTGGTAAAATTTGCATTTCTCGGGTTGCAATTTCATATTAACTCTTCTCAAACGTTCAATTACTTTTTCAAGTTTAACATCATGCTCTTCCAAGGTTTTTCCGTGAATAATACAATCGTCTATATAAATACATATTTCTTTATTTTGTAACCCTTGGAAGGTTGTGTCAACTTGTCTTTGAAATGTCGCGGGTGAATTTTTTAACCCAAATGGCATCCTTGTAAACTGATAATGACCTTCGGGTGTCGAAAAAGCCGTTTTGCATTTATCCGATTCGCGCATAGGAATTTGGTGAAAACCCGATGCCAAATCGAGGACGCTAAAATATTTTGAACCCGATAATTGTGAAACAATTTCTTCCACGTTTGGTATAGGGTACGCATCGGAAATTGTTTTTTTATTCAGTTCTCGAAAATCAATTACAAGCCGCCATTTTTTATTTCCTTGACTATCGGCTTTTTTCGGAACAACCCATAAAGGACTGTTGTAAGGAGAATTTGACGGTTCAATAATTCCATCTTTTAACATTTTATTAATTTGTGTTTCAATTTCTCCTTTCAACATCTGAGGATAACGATATTGTCGTACATGCACGGGAGTTTGATCGGTCAATTCAATACAATGTTGTGTAGTGGACGCTTGAGTTAATTTTTCGTCGGGTGCTTGAAAAACGTCAGCATATTTTTCGCAAATTTCCGCAGTTCGGATTTTCATTTCTCCTTCGTAAGAATTTAAATCTAACAAATTTTTAATTGTTTCGATTTTGTTTTCGAGACCTTGTAAATTTGAAGTGGACGTACTTGTATAGTCGAACGAGTAAATCATTTCCCGATTGAAATCTAAATTTTCTTCTATATATAATAGAATTTGTTCTGCATTATTCTCTGACCATTCTTCTAATTTATCAGAATGATTAGATTCAGAATCAGTAAATTTTAGAGTTTGTATTTCGTCATCAGTAACGTCATGGTTTTCGTACAGATTATCTTTCATAACATTTAAATAATCATTTAAATCAATTTCTGTTTCTTTAGTTTCAGTCATAACATTTAAATAATCATTTAAATCAATTTCTGTTTCTTTAGTTTCAGTTGTTCGTTTTTGTTCATTCGATTCGTATAGAGTACTTATCGTAGCGTAATGTATAGTTTCGTTAGGGTTAAAAGTATTATTATCGTAGTCGTTATCTACTGAGGTATTCATTTTATCGTCTGTATTATCGATTTCTGATACGATATAAGGGACAATTGGTATACGAAATTCGACGTCGGAAAAGGTAGTATTTTTGACTGGAATTTTTACCTTCCCGTCTGAGCAATTATCAATTTCTTTACCGCCTATAATAATGCCCGGTAAGACTTCTAATTCTGGTACATAGCCTTTTGTCAAACATTCTCGTGTATCAGCGATAATCCAACTTATACTTTTGCGTGCGCTAAAACAAACCTTTTCTTTTTCAAATTTATGGGACATGTGATTAAATGTAAAAATTTCTTGTTCAAAATTTATAATGGAATTGTTTACATCGCAAAATTGGGATCCTATCAGAGCAGCTGTTTTTATTGGAAAATTTTTGGGAATAACAACAAAATTTGCGGAAACGCCTAAATTGTCAATTTTTAATTTTGTCATTCCAATTACTTTAGGAGGTGAATCGCCTATACCTTTGAGAGTTGGTTTTATGCTATAGTCGATTTTTGTATCGGGTTTCAACAAGTGTACCTTTATTAGGTTCGGTTGTGCTCCTGTATCGATCATGCAATCTGCAATTTTTCCGGAAAATTGTTCTGAAAATATTCTAATTACTGGTATAAATTGTAATTTTCCGTTTATCGGTATGTGGTTGCATTCTAAATTTAAATTTTCGCTGGCGAAAAGTTTGTTTGACGGGTCTTGTTCTCGTTCAGGTTCCCGTCGGTTCTGTTCTGAACGTTTTGGGAGTTTCCCGAATTCTCGAATTTTTCGCGATTTAATCTTGTAAAACATTTGTCAATAGTGTGTCCATATTTTTTGCAATAATCGCATTGTTTTTGGTACCAGTCATTTTCGTCTCTATTGCCTCTGCTGTTCAGGGGACTTCGATTATTTTGGTCATAGGAATCATTTTGGTCTCTCGAATAACCCGGATCGAAAGGACGGTTGAATTTAACGTTTCTCGAATTAAACCCTGGATTATATGGTTCGTTATTTCTAAAATTGTCCTTCCTAAACTGTCTCGGATTTTTGTTATCTGAGTAATTGGAATTTCTAGGATAATCAAAATTTTGGTTATTTCGTTGGCCGTAGTGCGCATTTTTAGAAATTTCTGGTTCGTTGTCAATTACGTACGTGTCGAGATTCCTTCGAGTTGGATAAGGGTTATTTTGTCGGTAGTCTGAATTTCTTTTATTTTCAGGGTTTTGTTGAGTTCTCAATTCTCGGTTATTATAACGGGGAAATTTTTCGCGGTCAATTTCGATTCGTTTTTCAGCTTTAATGGCCTCATCGTAGGCGTCGTTAATGGTATTTGCCGACTTGGTAATATATTGTCGGAAAAACGGAGGTAAAGCGAAATAAAATTCTTGGGCAAATTCCTTTTCTAATTTTATTGTTTCTTTTGGTGGTAAAGTGTCTATTCCTGCTTCGAGACAAAGGGAATCTATTATCGCAGTCACTATGGAATCGAATCTTTCAATATATTCTAAAATCGATTCGTCATTTCTCTTTGCTAAAATTGATAGTTGTCCCCTGTAATAATTCGAAGAACGGTGTGTGGCAAAAACTACCTTTAGACGGGTTAAAAATTCTTCGATGGAGTAAAATTCTTGGTCGCCAACTGCGAGACAAGCTCTATCAGAAAGTTTAAATTTTAGTAGCCTAACAATTTCGTGTTGAAATTTGAAAGGAAACTGATTTTTTATCCTTCTTACCGCTCTTACAAATTTGAAAACATCTGATCCGTCAAATTGGGGTATTACTGCAAGACTTTCTCGAATAACACTTGAGTTTGGGACCCAGTGATCGTTTTCATAAAGAAATGGGTTTGTAGACTGATAAAACTTTGTATCTTGGGGATTGTTGAGCCTTTTATTTTGTGAATCATAAGAGTTATCGTTATGAAAATTTTCATATCTTTGATTTCTACTTTCATATAATTTATCACGTGGTTCGTTACATTTTTCGCTTCTACTATTTTCAATTTTATTGATTCGTTCGCATTGAGTTTCTTTAAGTTTTTTCGATTCAACTTTATTAGTTTCGTTAAGTTCTTCGAGGTGCGTATCGCTAAATCTATCGTTTCGTGATTCATCAAATTGTTCGTTTTCGCATTGTTTTTGATTTTGAGAATTTCGATTATAATTACCTGTGGTTGAATTTTCATCGGAATCTAATTCTAATTGTAATTTTGCAAATTTTTCGTGTAAAATCTTTAATTCTATCTCTAGAAGACTATTTTCTTCTTGTGTTAATTTTAGCTCGTTTGAAATTTTTTCCAATTCTGTTTCCTTTTCTCTTAATTCTTTCTCGTTCATTTTGTTTAAGCTTTTATCATCCATTTTGAATTTAATTTCTTTAATTAATAAAAGAAAGGATAACCGTTATCGCGGAATTTATTGCGTATCAGAAATTGTAATTTTATTCAAATCGCGGATATCAATCACAAACCGTTGTTTTTTATTTTGTTTGCTATCGATTTTATTTTGAACAGCTACAAGAGGAATATTGTAAGGAGAATTTAACGGCTCAATAATTCCGTCTTTTAACACTTTATTAATTTGGGTTTCAATTTCTTTTTTTAACATCTCGAGAAATAATCGAATTTATCCAAAGTTTCAAAATTTTAAAATAAGTTTGATATAAAGGCTAAGAAAAAAAAATGTTTATAGGCTAATCCCACCGCCTTGTCACCAAAAATTTTCTTTGTAACGTCTGAGAAAAATAGGCAAAGTTTTAGACGTCTCGAAAGGGAGGTTTCTGTTCGTAGCTTACAAAAAAAACAATTTATACAATAATTTTAATAATTTATAGGGCAGCGCGTGTCACCACTTCGCGAATTTGTTATAGTCGGCCGCGAAGTCCCGACTTTTCTGAATTAATTTTATACCGACGGTCAAAATTATTCAAAGGATAAATCCTTTCTTTTGTGGATTTTTAAGGGGAAGGAGGAAATAAAGTTTTAATTACCTTTTTTGATGTCCTTTCCAGATGATAAGTCGAGGGTTAATCCAAATTCCGGCCGTTGATCGGACTGAAGATTCCCAAAAACGCCTTCTTTAATCCTCTTTTGAATATTTTTTTTTTATATCCCTTTTTTCTTGTTTATTACCAAAGTTTACTTTAAACGAAACTGAACATGTTCAATGTTTGCGTCACTAATTTTGATTTGAAATTAATAAATTTTGCACAAAACTTTAAATTTAGGTTTCTTTAGAATTTTATTTTTGTTTTAATCGTCAATGTTTAAGATGTATTTAATGTCACTGATTAATTTATGATTGCGAAAAATTCAACAAAATTATCCTTATTTATTTTTAAGGTTGGGTTCACTTCAATAAATAATAATAACACACACAACAATTAATACATGAAATAAATTCACAATTTATTTGAAAGTTTTAAATTTTTACACTTTTTTGAATGCCCGGCGAGTAAAATAAATATGTGTGACCGACTCGAGAATCAAGAAGGAACTGGCTGTTGGGCCTGCTGCACAGCCCGCGTACAGTCTCTAAGTTTGAGAACTTCCCCTACCTTTTTACGTTTCTCTCACGACTTGGTTGCTGATGTTCGCATTTTCTTTTCGCTTTGTGTAGAAGTTTTCGAATTAATGTTTATACATAGTTCGTTGTTATTATTAGTTACAATTTATAAATTTAAAACAATAAAGTTTAAACAGACATATTTTTATTTTGTCTATAAAAATTCGAAGAATTTGTAAATTTTGAATTATTAATTTTTTATTAGAACATAAATTGGTTTCATTGATTTTTAATAAATAAATGTTTTTTACAATTGAATTTTTTTTACGCTGTATTTAATATGATTTGAATATATTATAATATTAAATTAGTCATAGCTTTATTTCGTACTTGAGTGCACGTGCACTCATTTCTTATCATATCTTCTAAGGATTATGTTACCTGCAACTTCTAGTGTCGTTGGAATAATTTCATTTCTTTGTTTAAAATCTCAATTCTATTATTTATTCTCCTTTTTAATTTACAATGTTATTTTAACTGCTGAATAATTCGATTGTTCAAAAAGTATGTAGAAAATGATTTGTCAAAAATATAATTCGTTAATTTTAGGATTCCTAAAATTCGAATAAAGTGGATTCTTTAATTATTTTAATTTTAATATTTTAAATTAATTATATTATAATTTTTTGTTAGGATTTTCATACAGTTTTAAAATAATACCTTTTGAATTCATGCAGTTTTGTGGTCTTTCTCTTACATTCTTTTTGTTATCTCGTAGGGTTAGGTTACATCCTGCAGTCGTCGCTAGAAGTTGCATTCTTTTATGGGGTTTAAAGTTTTTATTCAGTTTGGTTAAATTTAGATTTTATTATGATTCGTTGATAAATTAATAAAATAATTTTGTTAATAAGTTTAATTTGTTAATATTATTATTATTTATTAAAAACCAATAATTTTATTTTTGAATAAAAGTATTGTCCAATATAATAATTTTGTTTTATAATTGATTTATTGTTAATTCAGCATTATTTAATTTTACATGTAGCGAATTTTTATTTTGAAATATATAAATGTATAATTTGAAGATTTTTCCGACTTGGGATTTTACTTCTATTGAATCAGCGTTTTGTCATTATTATTTCAAAGATCTGATTTCGTTCCATAACTTAACAGCCTGGGAAAGTTTTAAATTCGCAGTTCACAAAGTATCTCTTTTAATTTCTTATATTTCAAATTCCACATTTGTATTTGTATTACCAATTAAACAAATTTATTTTATTATTGTTGCAATGCAATTGAAAAAATTTTTTATGAGGGATGTTACACTGTACAAAAAAAAACGAAAAAAACGACCAATTTTTATTTTTCAGAAATTTTTAAAATTGTTTAAAAACTGATTTTTCGAGTATAATTCTGCTTGAAAATGAAAATAAATAACGAATTCAGTCGAAATTTACGATTGCAAAAATTTTCTGAAACAAAAAATTTGAAGAAATCGACGAAAATCAAAATTTTTAAATTTCCTATAGAAAAAAAAACGAGAAAAACGACGATTTTTAAATTTTGAAAAATTTTCAAATTCTCTTAAAAACTTGTTTTTCGTGTATAATTTAGATGGAAAATAAAAAAATTTTATGAATTCAGTCGAAAATCAAGATTTTTAAATTTTCTGTACAAAAAAAAAACGAAAAAATCGACCAATTTTTATTTTTCAGAAATTTTTAAAATTGTTTAAAAACTGATTTTTCGAGTATAATTCTGCTTGAAAATGAAAATAAATAACGAATTCAGTCGAAATTTACGATTGCAAAAATTTTCTGAAACAAAAAATTTGAAGAAATCGACGAAAATCAAAATTTTTAAATTTCCTATAGAAAAAAAAACGAGAAAAACGACGATTTTTAAATTTTGAAAAATTTTCAAATTCTCTTAAAAACTTGTTTTTCGTGTATAATTTAGATGGAAAATAAAAAAATTTTATGAATTCAGTCGAAAATCAAGATTTTTAAATTTTCTGTACAAAAAAAAACGAAAAAATCGACCAATTTTTATTTTTCAGAAATTTTTAAAATTGTTTAAAAACTGATTTTTCGAGTATAATTCTGCTTGAAAATGAAAATAAATAACGAATTCAGTCGAAATTTACGATTGCAAAAATTTTCTGAAACAAAAAATTTGAAGAAATCGACGAAAATCAAAATTTTTAAATTTCCTATAGAAAAAAAACGAGAAAAACGACGATTTTTAAATTTTGAAAAATTTTCAAATTCTCTTAAAAACTTGTTTTTCGTGTATAATTTAGATGGAAAATAAAAAAATTTTATGAATTCAGTCGAAAATCAAGATTTTTAAATTTTCTGTACAAAAAAAAACGAAAAAATCGACCAATTTTTATTTTTCAGAAATTTTTAAAATTGTTTAAAAACTGATTTTTCGAGTATAATTCTGCTTGAAAATGAAAATAAATAACGAATTCAGTCGAAATTTACGATTGCAAAAATTTTCTGAAACAAAAAATTTGAAGAAATCGACGAAAATCAAAATTTTTAAATTTCCTATAGAAAAAAAAACGAGAAAAACGACGATTTTTAAATTTTGAAAAATTTTCAAATTCTCTTAAAAACTTGTTTTTCGTGTATAATTTAGATGGAAAATAAAAAAATTTTATGAATTCAGTCGAAAATCAAGATTTTTAAATTTTCTGTACAAAAAAAAAACGAAAAAATCGACCAATTTTTATTTTTCAGAAATTTTTAAAATTGTTTAAAAACTGATTTTTCGAGTATAATTCTGCTTGAAAATGAAAATAAATAACGAATTCAGTCGAAATTTACGATTGCAAAAATTTTCTGAAACAAAAAATTTGAAGAAATCGACGAAAATCAAAATTTTTAAATTTCCTATAGAAAAAAAACGAGAAAAACGACGATTTTTAAATTTTGAAAAATTTTCAAATTCTCTTAAAAACTTGTTTTTCGTGTATAATTTAGATGGAAAATAAAAAAATTTTATGAATTCAGTCGAAAATCAAGATTTTTAAATTTTCTGTACAAAAAAAAACGAAAAAATCGACCAATTTTTATTTTTCAGAAATTTTTAAAATTGTTTAAAAACTGATTTTTCGAGTATAATTCTGCTTGAAAATGAAAATAAATAACGAATTCAGTCGAAATTTACGATTGCAAAAATTTTCTGAAACAAAAAATTTGAAGAAATCGACGAAAATCAAAATTTTTAAATTTCCTATAGAAAAAAAAACGAGAAAAACGACGATTTTTAAATTTTGAAAAATTTTCAAATTCTCTTAAAAACTTGTTTTTCGTGTATAATTTAGATGGAAAATAAAAAAATTTTATGAATTCAGTCGAAAATCAAGATTTTTAAATTTTCTGTACAAAAAAAAACGAAAAAATCGACCAATTTTTATTTTTCAGAAATTTTTAAAATTGTTTAAAAACTGATTTTTCGAGTATAATTCTGCTTGAAAATGAAAATAAATAACGAATTCAGTCGAAATTTACGATTGCAAAAATTTTCTGAAACAAAAAATTTGAAGAAATCGACGAAAATCAAAATTTTTAAATTTCCTATAGAAAAAAAACGAGAAAAACGACGATTTTTAAATTTTGAAAAATTTTCAAATTCTCTTAAAAACTTGTTTTTCGTGTATAATTTAGATGGAAAATAAAAAAATTTTATGAATTCAGTCGAAAATCAAGATTTTTAAATTTTCTGTACAAAAAAAAACGAAAAAATCGACCAATTTTTATTTTTCAGAAATTTTTAAAATTGTTTAAAAACTGATTTTTCGAGTATAATTCTGCTTGAAAATGAAAATAAATAACGAATTCAGTCGAAATTTACGATTGCAAAAATTTTCTGAAACAAAAAATTTGAAGAAATCGACGAAAATCAAAATTTTTAAATTTCCTATAGAAAAAAAAACGAGAAAAACGACGATTTTTAAATTTTGAAAAATTTTCAAATTCTCTTAAAAACTTGTTTTTCGTGTATAATTTAGATGGAAAATAAAAAAATTTTATGAATTCAGTCGAAAATCAAGATTTTTAAATTTTCTGTACAAAAAAAAACGAAAAAATCGACCAATTTTTATTTTTCAGAAATTTTTAAAATTGTTTAAAAACTGATTTTTCGAGTATAATTCTGCTTGAAAATGAAAATAAATAACGAATTCAGTCGAAATTTACGATTGCAAAAATTTTCTGAAACAAAAAATTTGAAGAAATCGACGAAAATCAAAATTTTTAAATTTCCTATAGAAAAAAAAACGAGAAAAACGACGATTTTTAAATTTTGAAAAATTTTCAAATTCTCTTAAAAACTTGTTTTTCGTGTATAATTTAGATGGAAAATAAAAAAATTTTATGAATTCAGTCGAAAATCAAGATTTTTAAATTTTCTGTACAAAAAAAAACGAAAAAATCGACCAATTTTTATTTTTCAGAAATTTTTAAAATTGTTTAAAAACTGATTTTTCGAGTATAATTCTGCTTGAAAATGAAAATAAATAACGAATTCAGTCGAAATTTACGATTGCAAAAATTTTCTGAAACAAAAAATTTGAAGAAATCGACGAAAATCAAAATTTTTAAATTTCCTATAGAAAAAAAACGAGAAAAACGACGATTTTTAAATTTTGAAAAATTTTCAAATTCTCTTAAAAACTTGTTTTTCGTGTATAATTTAGATGGAAAATAAAAAATTTTATGAATTCAGTCGAAAATCAAGATTTTTAAATTTTCTGTACAAAAAAAAACGAAAAAATCGACCAATTTTTATTTTTCAGAAATTTTTAAAATTGTTTAAAAACTGATTTTTCGAGTATAATTCTGCTTGAAAATGAAAATAAATAACGAATTCAGTCGAAATTTACGATTGCAAAAATTTTCTGAAACAAAAAATTTGAAGAAATCGACGAAAATCAAAATTTTTAAATTTCCTATAGAAAAAAAACGAGAAAAACGACGATTTTTAAATTTTGAAAAATTTTCAAATTCTCTTAAAAACTTGTTTTTCGTGTATAATTTAGATGGAAAATAAAAAAATTTTATGAATTCAGTCGAAAATCAAGATTTTTAAATTTTCTGTACAAAAAAAAACGAAAAAATCGACCAATTTTTATTTTTCAGAAATTTTTAAAATTGTTTAAAAACTGATTTTTCGAGTATAATTCTGCTTGAAAATGAAAATAAATAACGAATTCAGTCGAAATTTACGATTGCAAAAATTTTCTGAAACAAAAAATTTGAAGAAATCGACGAAAATCAAAATTTTTAAATTTCCTATAGAAAAAAAAACGAGAAAAACGACGATTTTTAAATTTTGAAAAATTTTCAAATTCTCTTAAAAACTTGTTTTTCGTGTATAATTTAGATGGAAAATAAAAAATTTTATGAATTCAGTCGAAAATCAAGATTTTTAAATTTTCTGTACAAAAAAAAACGAAAAAATCGACCAATTTTTATTTTTCAGAAATTTTTAAAATTGTTTAAAAACTGATTTTTCGAGTATAATTCTGCTTGAAAATGAAAATAAATAACGAATTCAGTCGAAATTTACGATTGCAAAAATTTTCTGAAACAAAAAATTTGAAGAAATCGACGAAAATCAAAATTTTTAAATTTCCTATAGAAAAAAAAACGAGAAAAACGACGATTTTTAAATTTTGAAAAATTTTCAAATTCTTTTAAAAACTTGTTTTTCGTGTATAATTTAGATGGAAAATAAAAAATTTTATGAAT